ATTATATCTCTGCCTCACCAAAATTATCTTGCACCCAAGCGTAGATTAAATTATATTTATGATTACCATACCTAATCAGTGTTGTATTTGTTTTTGTGTTGCCCTAGGCAACACAAAAATCAGGTGCCCCCCAAATAAAAACCTCACGGTAAATACGCCCCTGTACCTAATGCCAGATTAGGGGCCATCTGTGTATTATGTTGGACCTATGTTATGCTGAGACATTAGTAATTCGGGAGGGTCAAATTTTACTAAATCTAAAGAAATATATGCTAAACCAAGGAATGCTGTAGCAGAAATGTTTTATATCTGTTCTATATTTAGACAATTAACACTAAAATTGTGGTGTATGTACCAGGTCTATTTTGCACTCTAGCCCCCCTGGCTGTATTCCCGAGTGTAGCTCGGGGTTAACTTTCAGTACCAGAAGCAGTAACCCCAAGCTACACTCGGGAATACACTGCAGTGTTGCTCTGGGATCCCTGGATCACTTACCTTGTCCTGCACTCCCGCGATGTCCCCCCTGCAGCGTCCCCGGCCATGTTCTCCGGCCGATGCTGGCAGAACCGGCGGGAAATTCAAAAATGTAAAAATGTGACATTCACTCAGTACATTAAAATCAGATAGTATTCCATTACTGTGTCAAACCATTTCACATACATTTTGTCCCTAGTGCTTTGTCCTCTGCCCTGCCTGCATTTTTACTGTTCTTTCTGCCTAGAAACTGAGAAACATCCATGGCGTCCAAAAAGCATCCCTTTAGGTCAAAAGTGATTTTAGACCAGCTAGAGAACAGCGATAGTAAATTAGAACCACTTGCAGAATTGAGTGATAATGATTTGTGGAGAAATTCGTCATCAGACACTGAAAACGATTCTGCGACTGAGCTCAGCGATGTACGAACTTGGCGCTCTATTTCATATTTCAGTGTTTTTGGTTTGATTACATTGTTGAATTAAATTTATTATTATTATTTTTTATGATTATTTATTATATTATAATTTATGATTTCGTGTTTCAAATTTTTTCATACCCGGGATGTTTACTAGACTCTTGTCCGGATAGATTTCAGTGAGTTATTCCTAAGAATTACAGGCCTACAATAAAAAAAAAAACAACATATTTCCATTGAAAACAATGTACCGCTTTGAGCACAGAAATACTGACATAATCAGGCCGCTAGGGAGGTTAAAGAGTTCATAAATCCAATCACATCTTTAAATGAATAACTACTTTGGACTCTGATGTCTAGCCAGGTGGTAACTCTAGACATACTGACATAGGCACACAACTAGATAATAATAGCTTTGCCAGTTCTAGTTCTCTTGTTTTACAGTTGCTTTAGAATAATAAACAATTAAAATTACCATATCAAGTTTTAATCAGTCTAATACTTTGACACAGCTCCTGCCTTCCTAGCAGTTTTGTGTGGTTTATTGTCCATGATAAATGTCACTATGTGCCTTTATCTGTGTTTGCCTGTGAAAGGTACTGATTGATCTCAAACATGGACATAAGCTTTGTAGTTTTAACATTCTCTGTGGATCATGTCATGATTTGCATTAAATGCTGGGACAACTAATCGTCCAGGTGTTTCGTAGGCACAGATTTACTCTTTAATATATGCAAATATTTAAATTAAATATAAGTTGTGGGTTTGAAATTAACTTTAAAATTTATGGAGTATACATATGCATGTGCACATATCTTTTTTTCTTCTAAACAGAATAAAATGTTGAACAGATGGTGATAAGAAATTATTTGTATATTTATTCCATACCTAAAAAAAAAATGCACTGTATGCCATTGAATTTTATGCTGTGGCCAAACTAGCTTACTGCTTAACTTCACAATCACCCTGCAGTCAATAAGATTGATCTCATGTCTTATTCATGTTGTGACCAAAGTCAATGTCAGGAACCATCTGTTTCCACTTGCCTTGACGAGGTCCTCTGCCTTTACACCTGGCCACTACCTAGCAGGCATCATCCTCCTTCAACCAGGAGGCCAAGACAGTAAATGCAACTGAGACAAGCTGTAGGATCATCATATTCTAAGTAAAATTCTGCTTGATGCAGTGGGACAGTACCTAAATAAAAAGGTTTCTCCCTGTCCATTTTGGCAGACTGGTGTTTAATCTGTAATAGGTCTATTTCTTACTCATGTTTGTGTTTCGAATGCTACCATCCTGTTTAACATCTTTCTCAGCTGGAGCCAATTGCTTGATCCTGCCAGCCCTGATTTTTGCCTGTGCCTTAATTTGCTCTGACCATTGTTCATTTAACGCAAAATGTTTCTGCATATTGACAGTTGCTTTTAACAATGGGACAAAGGTTAAGACTATCATTTGGGAACATCACACAGTGAAATCAAATACCTCCTTGCAGTTTCTTGATACTGGTCTTTCTTTGTACTCCACACTTCAGGGCACCCCAAATTTATCATTGTTAGTACATGCTATAGTCATGACAGTCAAGCTACCTTGCCCTATATAGCAATTGTATCTTGTTAACACTTTTTTTTAGCCTCCATTTGTGTAAAGTACTTGGGAATTGGTATTATTCCTTCCACTCTTTTGCTATAATAGAGTATGAATGTGCATTAAAACAAAGCTGTCGTAGAATACTACTATACATTTTATCTTATCCTCCAAAATGAACTGCCTTTCTAAAGTCTTGGCTGCCTTTAATGGAGTTCATAGAATACAGATCTATCTTAACCTCTTATTTTACCATTTAAGGCCCATACACATGATAAGAAAATTGTATGAAAATTGTCATTTGAGGAGCATTCGTTTGATAATCTGATCACTAGTGTACAGCTTTTAAGAGCCAATCACTATTGTTCATGCATCAATAACCGAAGAGACAAGTGTGAAAAATGTTCTCATACAATACCAGATCATACGATTTTCATTTATTCAGTACAGTAGTCATCTGAAAATACAATACAAATACAATACATGACATCACTTCTGAAATTCTATTTTCGTAAGTTGAATAACCTCTTCATTTTCGATATGGAGACTGGCATGCAAAAAAAAAGGGGACAATCATTCATCTGATATTCTCATTGTGTCTACTAGGCATAAGTTGTACTTGAAATGTTTGTTTTCAAAGGACTGTCCTGATTTTGTCTGCACCACCTATTTCTGGGGACACTTTTAGTTATATTTTATGTTAATTTTATTCTTTTTAGGACTATAACATTTTATTTCTATTTTTCATCTTCATGGATTACATGCAGTGTACATCTAGTCTTTACTCTAGAATTGTTATCTTAATGCTTCCCTGTAACTCATACTGTTTTTATGAATTAAAGGGCCTCAAATAATCATCTAAACTGAAATGTACCAACATGTCCTATTACCACAATCTTTGTTGCTGCTATTTTTTTCTCTTATACTTGCATAATATTAAATGCTAAATGAAGAATATGTAAGAAACAAAGCCCTGTAAAGACATTGTTGTCTTTGTATAAGCTGGATGAACCCTTAATCCATAAAGCTTTATGTGCTAAGGGACTAATTTCTAAAGAAGAAGTATAAACTTACCATGGCCATACAACTGCTTACTGCATTTGGGGTGCCATTAACAATGATGTATTCTGTGAACGCACTCACAGATATGAGCTTTTGCACGCGTTCATGGAACATTCAGAGTACTGAAGCAAAGGAAGCTTATGGCAAATTTATAAAATGGGCATCTGTGCTTTAAATATGGCAGAGTTTTTTTAAATCAGTTTCACAGCTTTCAGAATGCATGAGGGCCCGCTGTGTCACCCTGTGTATGGTCGCAGTCTTCAAAGGGATGCAGGAATTGTTGCTTGTAACAGTCCAGCTTGTTTATTTTTGCCAGTATAAATTGCTTACCTCCCAACTATACTTCATTTAAAGGGATTGTCCTTCATTAGTAACTATAAAACCATTTGTCCCTTTTTTCCCCTCAGTTGTCTCTCTTTTTCGACAGATGTATAGGCCTCTATAATACTACAAAAATTGTTACACTACACTAAGAGCTGATTCACACATGTGCAGTGCGGATTGAAGCTCAGGTTTCACAACTAATTGACACAGTAGTTGTTCAGCAGTTCATGTCAGGTTTACATCAGGTTCAGGACAGGATTGGGTCAGGATTTCATCCTGTTCACACATATGCGGTTTAGAAACGGTTCCCATAGAAGTCAAAAGCCTGTAATCCACACCTGAACCTGAAGGCTCTGCTTGGAAATCATACATGACTCTTTTCCAAACCACACTGAATTCGAACCCGCTAGTGCATCGAACATATGTGAACAGGCACCATAGGAAGCAATGTTATTTCAGTTCAAACCACATCCAATCCACATATACACTCAGCTACCAAAAGTATTTGAACGCCTGCCTTTACACACACATGAACTTTAATGGCATCCCAGTCTTAGTTCATAGGGTTCAGTATTGAGTTGGCCCACCCTTTGCAGCTATAACAGCTTCAACTCTTCTGGGAAGTCTGTCCACAAGGCTTAGGAGTGTGTTTATGGGAATATTTGACCATTCTTCCAGAAGCGCATTTGTGAGGTTAGACACTGATGTCGGACCAGAAGGCCTGGCTCGCATGTCTCCACTCTAATTCATTCCAAAGGTGTTCTGTCAGGTTATAGTCAGGACTCTGTGCAGGCCAGTCAGGTTTCCGCCACCCCAAATTCGCTCATCCATGTCTTTATGGACCTTGCTTTGTGCACTGGTGCGCAGTCATGTTGGAACAGGAAGGGTCCTGGGAGCATGAAATTGGACAAAATGTCCTGGTATGCTGACGCCTTAAGAGTTCCCTTCAATGGAACTAAGGGACCAAACCCAACCCCTGAAAAACAACCCCACACCATAATTCCCCTTACACCAAATTTTACACTTGGCACAATGCAGTCAGGCAAGTACCTTTCTCCTGGCAGCCAACAAACCCAGACACATCTATTGCATTGCCAGCATGTTTCATCACTCCAGAGACCACGTCTCCACTGCTCTAGAGTCCAGTGTCGGTGTGCTTTACACCACTGCTTCCAACGCTTTGCATTGCATTTGGTGATGTAAGGCTTGGATACAGTTGCTTGGCTATGGAAACCCATTCCATAAAGCTCTCTATGCACTGTTGTGCTAACACAAAGTTTGTAGATCTTTTGTTATTGACAGATGGTGACTTCTGCGCACTGTGCGCTTCCACATGTGCTGATCCTTTCATTTTACATGGCCTACCACTTGCTGGCTGAGTTGCTGTTGTTCCCAGTTGCTTTTACTTTGTTATAATACCACTAACAGTTGACTGTGGAATATTTAGTAGCAAGGAAATTTCATGGATGGACTTATTGCATGGTACCAAGCGTGAATTTATTGAGCTCCTGAGAGCGACCCATTCTTTCACAAATGTTTGTAGAAGCAGTCTGCATGCCTAGATGCCTAGTGTTCATTAGAACACCTGAATCGAATGATTTGGAGGGGTGTATCAATATTTTTGGCAATAAAGTGTGTATATATATATATATATATATATATATATATATATATATATACAGTGCCTTGAAAAAGTATTCAAACCCCTTGACATTTCTTTTGACATGTTACAGCCAAAAACATAAATGTATCTCATTGGGATTTTATGTGATAGACCAACACAAAGTGACACATAATTGTGAAGTGGAAGGCAAATGATAAATGGTTTTCAAATTTTTGTACAAATAAATAAATATTGGAAAAGTGTGGCATGCATTTGTATTCAGCCCCCCCCCCCCCCCAAGTAAATACTTTGTAGAACCTCCTTTCGCTGCAATTACAGCTGCATGTCTTTTTGGGTATGTATCTACCAGCTTTGCACATCTAGAGAATGAAATTGTTGCCATTCTTCTTTGCAAAATAGCTGAAGCTCTGTCAGATTGAATGGAGAGCTGCGAACAGCAATTTTCAAGTCTTACTACAGGTTCTCAATTGGATTTAGGTCTGGACTTTAATTGGGCATTCTAACACATGGATATGCATTGATCGAAACCATTCCATTGTAGCTCTGGCTGTATGTATATGGTTTTTGGCCTGCTGGAAGGTGAACCTCTGCCCCAGTGTCAAGTCTTTTGCAGACTCGAACAGGTTTTCTTCTAAGATTGCCCTGTATTTGGCTCCATCCATCTTCCCATCAACTCTTACCAGCTTCTCTGTCCCTGCTGAACAAAAGCATCCCCACAACATGATACTGCCACCACCCTGTTTCACGGAGGGGATGGTGTGTTCACGGTGATGTGCAGTGTTAGTTTTCTGCCACACATAGCAATTTGCTTTTAAGCCAAAAAGTTTAATTCTGGTCTCATCTGACCTGAATACACTCTTCTACATTTTTGCTGTGTCCCCCACATGGCTTCTCGCAAACTGCAAATGGGACTTGTTTTGGCTTTCTTTCAACGATGGCTTTTTCTTACCATTCTTCCATAAGGGCCAGATTTGTGGAGTGCACGACTAATAGTTGTCCTGTGAACAGATTCTCCTACCTGAGCTGTGGATCTCTGCTGCACTTCCAGAGTTACCATGAGCCTCTTGTTGCTTCTCTGATTAATGATCTCCTTGCTCGGCCTGTCAATTTAGGTGGACAGCCATGTCTTGGTAGGTTTGCAGTTGTGCCATACTCTTTCCATTTTCGGATAATGGATTGAACAGTGCTTCGTGAGATGTTCAAAGCTTGGGATATTTTTTTTTAACCTAACCCTGCTTTAAACTTCTCCACACCTTTAACCCTGATCTGCCTAGTGTGTTCCTTGGCCTTCATGATGCTGTTTGTTCACTAATGTTCTTTAAAAAACCTCTGAGGGCTTCACAGAACACCTGTAATTTTAGTTAGGAGTATCAGAGTACAGGGGTCTGAATACAAATGCACAGCACACGTTTCAGATATTTATTTGTAAAAAAAAAATTGAAAACCATTTAAGGGGTATGAATACTTTTTCAAGGCACTGTATATATTCTCTAACAGTATCTCTAACATATTCCATAATTGTTCAGCTCTCAGTGAAAGGCATACTTTTTTTTTAATTTATTAATCTCAAAATAGATGCTTAATGTTGATTACTTGGCTCTGGGCATTCTGTGCCTAAGAGAGGCATCCTCACATCACTGGCACTGTGCTTTAGAGAATTACTGAAAATCACAAAGCCAGTAAGACAGGGTTAAAATTTTGAGTCCAGACCTACTAGCCGGTCACAAAACTTACTCTCCACCAGTTGCCCCACCCAACCTTGCCCAGGTCCGCCCCAAACCCCACCCCTGGCCCGCCCCCACCAACCACGCCCCCTTAAAGCTTATGAAATTACATTTTTCTTTAGAATAAATAGTCCAAAACATAAAACTGTACTGAGTAATGTATATCCCAGCTCCCCTGTACTCCGTTATAGTGATATGACATGTATACAGTAATGTATATCCCAGCTCCCCTGTACTCCATTATACTGATATGACATGTATACAGTAATGTATATCCCAGCTCCCCTGTACTCCATTATAGTTATATGACATGTATACAGTAATGTATATCCCAGCTACCCTGTACTCCATTATAGTGATAGGACATGTTGTGTACAGTACTTACTGTCCCCCCGAGACCCCCGCTGCTGTGGTGGAGAGGGTGTCTCCTCTCAGCGTAGGAGAGCAGACCTCTCCTGCACCTGTCCCCTCGGCCGCGTTGCTGCAGAAGCCGGAAACCGAAAGTTCTAAACCGGAACTCGGCTTCACAATGAGGCTTGGAGCGCAGGTGCAGTCGCTCCATGCTTCATCTGTGCTCGCCGCTCTCCACAGAAGAATTTCTGCTCGCCTTTGGCGAGCGGGCGAGTGGCCTTTTCAAGCCCTGCAGTAAGACATACATTAGATTCAGCTTTGAATGTACAGATTCTACTAGACAAAGTAAAAGTCAATTGACTTAATTGCCTTTAAAGTGGAAGTCCAGATTCTAGCTAATTAAGCTCCCACCCCCTCCTAACTCCTATTCTAACTACCCTGTAGAAGGAAGATGCTTATACTTACCTATTCTCAGAGCGCTCTAGTCAGGTGATCAGCTTCCAGCGGCAGCTTCAGGGGAGAGGAGGTACAGCTGAAAACGGATGCCCCATAGTAAAGCTATAGGTGACATCAACCCCCCAGACATTTCATTTGTTGGCACTGTATTTTCACTCATATAGTCAGCCACTGGAGAGATCACATGACCAGACCAGAATGCTCTGAGAAAAGGTAAGTATGAGCATCTTCCTTCTACAGGGTAGTTAGAATAAGAGTTAGAAGGGGGTGGTAGCCATTTTAGACTTAGTTAAAGCCTCGAATTGATAAAAAATAATGTTCTTTAGCAAGGAACATACATTCCAAATTAATAATTATGCTACCAAAATCAGTTTGTGTAGTGAATTGCCTCAGCATTGCTCCTGTTTCTTCTTGCTGGAGTCTGACATTTTATTGAAGCCCATAGCCCCTGAACAGCAGTAAATCATAAAGTGGAACTAAACCCATTGATATTATAGTTAAAAAAACAAACAGTTACATTCCTGCAATTCCAGGATTACTAACTGTCAAATTTGTTTGTGTTCTCAATCAAACTGTCAAACCATCAAATGGTCGGTGTCATAACTGATCACATGTGTAGCACCATGGCAGTTGCAGAGCAAACAGAAGTAGCTTCCTTGGCTATAAAGGATAGGAGGGTTTAATTTGGTTTTAAAGCTGTCAGCAGATTGACCTCTACAAATTCGGCAGTGCCTAAAAATGGAGAGCAACTGAGCATGTGCAGAGATGGGTAAGACTTTAATTTTAAACAGTATATGCTCCTATTTTGAGTATTTTACAAAGCTATACCTACAAAAGGGGCCAGCCTAAGTGATCTAGCGAGACCTAATTTTTTGACTAAAGCTCCACTTTAAGTATAATTATGACCTCCCTTTAAAATTAATTAAATGCTGCAGCGCTTAATTGCTAGAGCGTCACCATTTTTCCTTTGTCGCCCTGCAAATCCCCCATAAATTAGGCCACCTAATACAGCTTCTTGTGATAAGGAAACAACGCTGCTGCATTGCTACTGAATTCACTACAGTTTTGTTCCTCATATAGTCTATGGTTGTTTTCAGTGGAATGAGAAGATGTTGCAGGGGGTAAGACTATCAGAATTTGCCTCTGATTCACACGCCAGTAGCTTGTAAATCAGCAGCTGGTCTGCCTAACCTTTCTGGATTGGCAAAGCTCATTTTCCTGCTGAAAAGCTCCCACTTTTGGCTGCAGTGTCTGGGAGGATGGGAATGTAAAATATAACTTAAGGTGGATTTGGCTGACTGAAGGAGGCAAAAGAAGTTTTTTAACCACTTGCCCTCCTGAGGATTTACCCTCCTTCCTGACCAGGCCATTTTTTGCGTTACAGTTCTGCATTACTTTAACTGAAAAGGGCGCGGTCATGCAATGCTGACCCAAATGAAATTTACATCCTTTTTTTTTCCAATGAATTGAGCTTTCATTCAGTGGTATTTCAGCGCCTGTGCAATTTTTATTTTTTTTGCGCTATAAAAAAAGGCCCAATATTTTTTACTTTTTGCTATTAAACATGTCCAGTAAAAAAATTTAAAAAATCTAATTTCGTCATAAATTAATGCCAAAATGTATTCTGCTCCATGTCTTTGTTAAAAAAAAATCGCAATATGTGTAAATTAATTAGTTTACTTGAAAGTTATAGCGTTTACAAATGGTGGTATATATACTGGGATTATTTTATTTTTTATTTTTACTAGTAATGGCGGCGATCAGCGACTTATAGTGGGACTACAGTGGACATTCTGACACTGGGGGGAACTGACTTGGTGTCTCTGACATCCCTAGTGACACCAATACAGTGATCAGTGCTAAAAAAAAGAAAGCACTGCCACTGTACTAATGGCACTGGGCATGAAGGGGTTAACATGATGGGCAAGCAAAGGGTTAACTGTGTGCTGGGAGTGTTTTACTAGGGGGCCGTGTCGGTGTGCTTCACCGTAATCACACTGCTTTGGATGGCTGTGAACAGCCATCCAAAGCAGTGTGCCTGAGCTGACAGGGAGGAGTAAACAAAACAGTTCTCCTCCACGTTGGAGATCCTCGGAAATCACCGGGCGCCGGTTGAGTAATCACTGGCCGGGACTCGGTGATTGACAGCTGTGGCTGCTAATGGTGGCGTGGTTAGGGCGTGTGCGCAGCTCGCTCGCAGCCCCTACCCGGAAATGCAAAATCACGTATATATATATATGTGGCATGTATATATACATGATTTTGCGCACCCATGCCACCCTGTAGCAGTATATCTGATAAAGGCCAGACAGGAAGCGGTTAATGTTTATGAGGCTCTTTCACAACATAGTAATTGGATTTATGACCTGCTTGAGGTGCCACACAAGAGCCTTTAGATGGT